TTTACCTTATTTTCACTCATGGTGAGCAACCACCGTTCCTGACACCATGGAACCACAACTGCTGAGACCATATGAGATATGGTTCAGAATTATGAGACATGTCTCAGAATTATGGGACATGGTTCAAAATGATTGGGACACTACAATTTCCTTACAAATGAGGATGCCTTAAGCAGGTGTACAGATGAAAAAAAAATAATTGTTAAACATAAATATAATGACATATTGTCAAGATAAAAAAATGTATAGAATGATGAGCCCCACATTGACTAAATATACCCCTGAATATATAACAACTGGTATAGCTAATGGACAAGCTACAGGTATATACCAGTATATACCTCATGTTGGTATATCCATATACCAGCTACACCATTATACACCTCATGATGATATATCCAGTAGACCACTTATATTATTATTATTATTATTATTATTATTATTATTATTATTATTATTATTATTATTGGCATAAAGAGATCACATTAAGGTGAGGTATTAATGAGACAATGAGTAGGAGCCGTGAGGCGGTTTGAGGCACGTGTTTGGTACACCAGCCACACCTGACCCCCCAGCGTGCAGGTGTGTAGGAAGGCAGGTGTTGGGAGTTTGTATTGGACTGTGCCTGTGTAGCGGAGCTCAGTGAAGGCTCAATTAAAGCGAAGGAAAAATCACGAGGGCGGAGTTTTTTAATATTTTAAGTTGATTAATTCAATTTAATACACAGTGATTAGGTTGAATTGTTTGGTGTTAACTCCTCCACAGTGTGGTGTAGAGGGAAGAGTGTGGTGTAGAGGGCGAGATCATACGGTCAGTGACAGTAGAGCAGAGCAGTTTTTATTTATTTATTTTTTATTTATTAGTATTATTGTCTACCACAGAAGTGGTCAGACATTTACAATGCTAACCAGCATATATATATATATATATATATATATATATATATATATATATATATATATATATATATATATATATATATATATATATATATATATATATATATATATATATATACACATATATATATATATATATATATATATATATATATATATATATATATATATATATATATATATATATATATATATATGTCGTACCTAGTAGCCAGAACGCACTTCTCAGCCTACTATGCAAGGCCAAATTTGCCTAATAAGCCAAGTTTTCATGAATTAATTGTTTTTCGACAACCTAACCTACCTAACCTAACCTAACCTAACTTTTTCGGCTACCTAACCTAACCTAACGTTTAAAGATAGGTTAGGTTAGGTTAGGTAGGGTTGGTTAGGTTCGGTCATATATATACGTTAATTTTAACTTCAATAAAAAAAATTGACTCATGCGTAATGAAATGGGTAGCTTTATCATTTCATAAGAAAAAAATTAAAGAAAATATATGAATTCAGTAAAACTTGGCTTATTCGGCAAATCGGGCCTTGCATAGTAGGCAGAAAAGTGCGTTCTGGCTACTAGGTACGACATATATATATATATATATATATATATATATATATATATATATATATATATATATATATACCTCACAAGGGCCGTGTGTCACCTCACAAGGGCCGTGTGTCACCTCACAAGGGCCGTGTGTCACCTCACAAGGGTCGTGTGTCACCTCACAAGGGCCGTGTGTCACCTCACAAGGGTCGTGTGTCACCTCACAAGGGTCGTGTGTCACCTCACAAGGGTCGTGTGTCACCTCACAAGGGCCGTGTGTCACCTCACAAGGGTCGTGTGTCACCTCACAAGGGTCGTGTGTCACCTCACAAGGGTCGTGTGTCACCTCACAAGGGTCGTGTGTCAGGATAGTGGCGTTGTTTTGTCAACTTTCCTCTCCATCTTTATCATTTCTCATCTCTCTCCTCTTTTTCAGCTTTACCATCTTTCTCCTTCTTTCTCCTTCTTCCCTCTTTTCTTCAGTCTTACCTCCTCATTGCCGCTTTACTTCAGTCTCTCTCACACACATCTTCCTATTTGTGCTTGTTTATCTCCCTCTACTCCACCCTATCTCCTCCCTCATATCTCATCTCTACCATTCTCATTCTCCCTTTCCTCATCCATTCACCATCGTTACACATTACACCGGTTCGAATCCTCTTGATGGCTCCTAGTAATTTTCTCATTATTATTATTATTACAAAGATTTATGGTCATTATTATTATTAGGTTTTATAATGATAATAATAATTATTATTATTATTATTATCTTCATCATCAATAACTTAGTATTACTATTATTCTTAAGATTTATTATATTTATTATTATTAATGTTAGAATTATTTTGTGTAGGTCACTTGTGCTGGTTGCCTGTTGTGGAGGTACACCAGCCGAGTATACCATACTTGCTACACCAGCCGGGTATACCAATGTATACTTAACTAGTAATGGTACTATCACAAGTATTGGTATAGTACCGGTATTGGTACTGGTAGTAGTGGTAGTAATGTATATGGCATTAATGTTGGTGGCTGTGGTGGCACTGGTGGCACTGGTGGCTGTGGTGGCACTGGTGGCACTGGTTGTTAGGTTATATGAGAACATTGTGACTCCTCACTAGGTTATTCTGGCTTCACCTGTCTTTAATTATTCTTTGTCTAGCAGTGAGGGCCTCCTGTGTGCCTGGCACTCAGGGGTCTCCTGTGTGCACTCAGGGTCTCCTGTGTGTGCCTGGCACTCAGGGTCTCCTGTGTGTGCCTGGCACTCAGGGTCTCCTGTGTGCTTGGCACTCAGGGTCTCCTGTGTGTGCCTGGTACTCAGGGCCTCCTGTGTGTGCCTGGCACTCAGGGCCTCCTGTGTGTGCCTGGCACTCAGGGCCTCCTGTGTGCCTGGCACTCAAGGCCTCCTGTGTGCCTGGCACTCAGGGCCTCCTGTGTGTGCCTGGCACTCAGGGCCTCCTGTGTGTGCCTGGCACTCAGGGCCTCCTGTGTGTGCCTGGCACTCAGGGCCTCCTGTGTGCCTGGCACTCAGGGCCTCCTGTGTGTGCCTGGCACTCAGGGCCTCCTGTGTGTGCCTGGCACTCAGGGCCTCCTGTGTGTGCCTGGCACTCAGGGCCTCCTGTGTGCCTGGCACTCAGGGCCTCCTGTGTGTGCCTGGCACTCAGGGCCTCCTGTGTGTGCCTGGCACTCAGGGCCTCCTGTGTGCCTGGCACTCAGGGCCTCCTGTGTGTGCCTGGCACTCAGGGCCTCCTGTGTGTGCCTGGCACTCAGGGCCTCCTGTGTGTGCCTGGCACTCAGGGCCTCCTGTGTGTGCCTGGCACTCAGGGCCTCCTGTGTGCCTGGCACTCAGGGTCTCCTGTGTGTGCCTGGTACTCAGGGTATCCTGTGTGTGCCTGGCACTCAGGGTATCCTGTGTGTGCCTGGCACTCAGGGCCTCCTGTGTGTGCCTGGCACTCAGGGCCTCCTGTGTGTGCCTGGCACTCAGGGCCTCCTGTGTGCCTGGCACTCAGGGTCTCCTGTGTGTGCCTGGTACTCAGGGTATCCTGTGTGTGCCTGGCACTCAGGGTCTCATGTGTGTGCCTGGCACTCAGGGTCTCCTGTGTGTGCCTGGCACTCAGGGTCTCCTGTGTGTGCCTGGCACTCAGGGTCTCCTGTGTGTGCCTGGCACTCAGGGTCTCCTGTGTGTGCCTGGCACTCAGGGTCTCCTGTGTGTGCCTGGCACTCAGGGTCTCCTGTGTGTGCCTGGCACTCAGGGTCTCCTGTGTGTGCCTGGCACTCAGGGCCTCCTGTGTGCCTGGCACTCAGGGTATCCTGTGTGTGCCTGGCACTCAGGGTCTCCTGTGTGTGCCTGGCACTCAGGGCCTCCTGTGTGCCTGGCACTCAGGGTATCCTGTGTGTGCCTGGCACTCAGGGTCTCCTGTGTGTGCCTGGCACTCAGGATCTCCTGTGTGTGCCTGGCACTCAGGGTCTCCTGTGTGTGCCTGGCACTCAGGGCCTCCTGTGTGCCTGGCACTCAGGGTATCCTGTGTGTGCCTGGCACTCAGGGTCTCCTGTGTGCCTGGCACTCAGGGCCTCCTGTGTGCCTGGCACTCAGGGTATCCTGTGTGCCTGGCACTCAGGGTCTCCTGTGTGTGCCTGGCACTCAGGATCTCCTGTGTGTGCCTGGCACTCAGGGCCTCCTGTGTGCCTGGCACTCAGGGTCTCCTGTGTGTGCCTGGCACTCAGGGTCTCCTGTGTGTGCCTGGCACTCAGGGTCTCCTGTGTGCCTGGCACTCAGGGTCTCCTGTGTGTGCCTGGCACTCAGGGTCTCCTGTGTGTGCCTGGCACTCAGGGTCTCCTGTGTGTGCCTGGCACTCAGGGTCTCCTGTGTGTGCCTGGCACTCAGGGTATCCTGTGTGTGCCTGGCACTCAGGGTCTCCTGTGTGTGCCTGGCACTCAGGGTCTCCTGTGTGCACTCAGGGTCTCCTGTGTGTGCCTGGCACTCAGGGTCTCCTGTGTGTGCCTGGCACTCAGGGTCTCCTGTGTGTGCCTGGCACTCAGGGTCTCCTGTGTGTGCCTGGCACTCAGGGTCTCCTGTGTGTGCCTGGCACTCAGGGTCTCCTGTGTGTGCCTGGCACTCAGGGTCTCCTGTGTGTGCCTGGCACTCAGGGTCTCCTGTGTGTGCCTGGCACTCAGGGCCTCCTGTGTGCACTCAGGGTCTCCTGTGTGTGCCTGGCACTCAGGGTCTCCTGTGTGTGCCTGGCACTCAGGCCCTCCTGTGTGTGCCTGGCACTCAGGCCCTCCTGTGTGTGCCTGGCACTCAGGCCCTCCTGTGTGTGCCTGGCACTCAGGCCCTCCTGTGTGTGCCTGGCACTCAGGCCCTCCTGTGTGTGCCTGGCACTCAGGCCCTCCTTTCATTCTTACTGGCTCTCTCATATTTCCCCAAGACCTCCTTCCTTCAAGAAATTATGCCTCCATGCCCCTTGGCACTGCCATGTCGTGAGAACGGAAGCAATGCAATCTCAGGCCAAGAAAATATATTCATTGTTTGAATATTTTAAACCAAAAGATTTTTAATTTGCCAAAATATATATATGCATAGCCATTAAAGAGTCGTCGTCGACGGCGAGTCCCAAGTGTTTCCTGACGCGGCGCTGGGCTCGCCGCCGGCGGAAGTCTCCCCGCCTGAAGTCATCAATGTTGGCGGGGTGGATGGCCCAGTAGTGGCCCTTCCCGTTGGCGGAGCGGCCCGACTTCATAAAACAGTCGTTTAAGGAGAGGTTGTGACGGATGGAGTTGCGCCATCCAGTGCCTCGGGATCTGAAGTAGGGATAGTTGTCCAGGATATACTGGTAGATGTCGCTCAGAATCAGCTTCTTATCCGGGCTGCTGAGGATGGCCATGGCGATGAGTCCGATGTAGGAGTGCTGGGGCTTGGGCTCCTCGGGTCCCCGGGGCAACAGCATGCGAGGGTCAAGGAGCCTGTAGCCGTAGAGTGGGTGGGGCGGCGGGTACGTGGCTTGCGGCACTTGGGTGGACGCGCCACCCATAAAGCTTCCTCCAAACGCCATAGACCCCAGGCCGCCCATCATCGGCATACCCAGTCCACCCATAAAGTTGCCGCCCATGCTGGCCTCCTGAAGGTGGTGGTGATGGGCTGAGAGTGGTGGTCTGGCCCAGGCCAGACCGGCAGAGGCCAGACGCAGACGCTCAGCCAGGGCCAGCTGGTACAGCAGGCGCTGCTGGTCTGTGGGCACGGGCATCGCGTGGGCGTCGCTTAAGGGTGAAGCTTTGACGGCTACGGGCGCCACCACCGTGGGCGGCGACACCGAAGACTCACGCCCACAAACCGAGTCCATGTGGTGGTGTTATGGTGACGATGGTGGTGTTATGGTGACGATGGTGGTGTTATGGTGATGATGGTGGTGTTATGGTGACGATGGTGGTGTTATGGTGATGATGGTGGTGTTGTGGTGACGATGGTGGTGTTATGGTGATGATGGTGGTGTTATGGTGACGATGGTGGTGTTATGGTGATGATGGTGGTGTTGTGGTGATGATGGTGGTGTTGTGGTGACGATGGTGGTGTTGTGGTGATGATGGTGGTGTTATGGTGATGATGGTGGTGTTGTGGTGATGATGGTGGTGTTATGGTGATGATAGTGATGTTATGGTGATGATGGTGGTGATGATGGTGGTGTTCTGGTGATGATGGTGGTGTTGTGGTGACGATGGTGGTGTTATGGTGATGATAGTGATGTTATGGTGCTGATGGTGGTGTTGTGGTGACGATGGTGGTGTTATGGTGATGATGGTGGTGTTGTGGTGATGATGGTGGTGTTATGGTGATGATGGTGGTGTTGTGGTGATGATGGTGGTGTTATGGTGACGATGGTGATATGATGGTGATGATGGTGGTGTTGTGGTGAAGATGGTGGTGTTATGGTGATGATGGTGGTGTTATGGTGACGATGGTGGTGGTGTGGTGACGATGGTGGTGGTGTTATGGTGACGATGGTGGTGGTGTGGTGACAATGGTGGTGTTATGGTGACGATGGTGGTGTTATGGTGATGATGGTGGTGTTATGGTGACGATGGTGGTGGTGTGGTGACGATGGTGGTGTTATGGTGATGATGGTGGTGTTATGGTGACGATGGTGGTGTTATGGTGATGATGGTGGTGTTGTGGTGATGATGGTGGTGTTATGGTGACGATGGTGGTGTTGTGGTGATGATGGTGGTGTTATGGTGATGATGGTGGTGTTGTGGTGATGATGGTGGTGTTATGGTGATGATAGTGATGTTATGGTGATGATGGTGGTGATGATGGTGGTGTTATGGTGTGTGTTGTGGTGACAAAATTCCCCTGTGCGCCCCAAGGGTTTCAGGTAAATTTAGAATATCCCCTGTGCGCCCCAAGGGTTTCAGGTAAATTTAGAAATTCGTGTTTGTAGAGCCAGGGTTTTCAGGTAAATTTTGTCAGTCACAGATTTTAGAAGTAAGGATTTCTTATGAGAAAAATAATTTCCGAGACTTAGAAGTTTGTTAAAGCCTTATGGGAGAAATTCAAATAACGTGTGTAGCACTTTAGGGCTTCCAGGAGAACTCTACGGACATATTTTACATGTTTTCAACTTACAAAATCGTCTATGTAAGCCTTAGTTATTCATATAAATTTAGAAAATCACCTGTGTAAGTCATTGTTTTCAGGGTTTCGTACATCACACCCCCCTCCCTCCCCCCCTTACCTCGCAATCTGTCGCCTCACCTTTATTTACTTTGCGCCCAGTCAGCCAGACGGCTCTTAATCTTATGTTATCTTATCATAATATCTGGACCGTCCTCTCTCTCTCTCTCTCTCTCTCCTTTCATTCAGTTCAACTATTTTCCAACATCGTATGTTTGCTCCTTTTCATTAAGCAAGTCAGTATGTTTGCTCCTTTTCATTAAGCAAGTCAGTTTTACACAAATAAATCATGTTAGTAAGCAAGTTCTAGCTCACGTTCCCCACCTTAGTCCCCTGTCGTATAAAGAATACTATCATTCCAATCCCTCTAAAATTTAAAAATAATCATATTTCAAATGTAGTTCAATACAGTAATTAGTTACCAAGCTCCAGCTCTTGTCCTCCGCCTTAGCTCTCTCTCGTATCTTCGTTAGTATCAGTCCAATTTCCCTGAAATTTCTACCCTCTGTATTTCAGACATAGTTTAGTAAATGCAAACAATTATCAAACTCTAGCTCTTGTCCCCAGCTTAGTTCATTTGTACAAAATCATTAGTAACAGTCCAAATTTCCCTGAAATTTCTACCCTCTGTATTTCAGACATAGTTTAGTAAATGCAAACAATTATCAAACTCTAGCTCTTGTCCCCAGCTTAGTTCATTTGTACAAAATCATTAGTAACAGTCCAAATTTCCCTGAAATTTCTACCCTCTGTATTTCAGACATAGTTTAGTAAATGCAAACAATTATCAAACTCTAGCTCTTGTCCCCAGCTTAGTTCATTTGTACAAAATCATTAGTAACAGTCCAAATTCCCTGAAATTTCTACCCTCTGTATTTCAGACACCGTAAATAAGATCAAAACAGTTACCAAGCTCCAGCTCTTGTCCTCCGCCTTAGCTCTCTCTCGTATCTTCGTTAGTAACAGATCAATTCCCCTGAAATTTCTACCCTCTGTATTTCAGACACCGTAAATAAAATCAAAATAGTTATCGAGCTCCAGCTCTCGTCCCCGCCTTAATTCTCTTTCGTATCTTTGTAAATAACCCATCAATTTCCCTAAAATTAAAAGCAGACATACTTCAAAGTTAGTAAATAAGATCAAGTCAGTTACTGAGCTCCAGCTCTCGTCCCCGCCTTAGTTCTCTTTCATATCTTTGTAAATAAACCATCAATTTCCCTGAAATTTTTACCCTCTGTATTTCAGACATAGTAAATATGAAGTAAACAATTATAAAACTCTAGCTCTTGTCCTCTGTCCAAGCTCACTTTTGTAAAATCATTACTCTCAGTCCAAATCACCCAACTACATTTTCAGACATAGTAAATAAAAACCAGTTCAGTTATCAAGTTTCAACTCTTGTGCCCCAGCTTAGTTCATTTGTACAAGTTCTTTATTTTCCAACTAAATCACCCTGAGATTTAAGATCACCGTATTTCTAACGTAGTAAAATTAATCGGGGCATTAACCAAGCTCCATTCCCTCTGCCTTAGATCATCAGACATAAATATTTTCGATCAAGTCCGTCTCCAGCTTAACTCTTACCCTTTCCCTCCCTTACCTTCTCATCCCCAACTTATCCAAACCTTCAATAATCGTACTGTATTTGCATATTTTCTCTATATTCACTGTGTTCTTCGTATTCTCATCCGTGTTCACTCCATGTTCTTCAAAATGTTCACAGTCCCATTCAGTTCATATTTTCACAAGTATCTCCATTTTTTATGTAATCTTTCTCTTAGTCTCATTATGTTCTCTACAAATTCTAGTCATATTTTCTATGTTTTCATATTCATCACATGTTCTCTTTACAACTTTTATACTCAATATTCATGCTAACTTCCATATTTTGTGTTCTTTGTCAATATTCATGTTCTCAATGTTCTTAGCTTGTTCTTCACATGTTCAGTGTTCATTCTTTGTATTCCCTATGTTCCTTATCATGTCTTCATATTCTCTATAAGTTCATATTCCCTGCATGTTCACTCTATTCATCAACTGTTTCTTACATGTTTTCTGTGTTCACCGTATGTTCACTGTGTTCATTCCCTTACTTAACCTCAATTTTTTATGTTCTTTGTTTCTTCCATTCACTAACTAGTTCTTTGTCAAATAATATTATACTGCATTACAGTTCCCTCAACAATTTTAGTCACCAAGTTTTTATTTGCAAAACTATGTCAAAGTAATTCTCGTAGTCAACTTAATAGTTCTACCAACCCCGTTCTTAAACAAATCTACACTTTATTCAGTTCCAAATTTACAAAGACAAACCTTTCTTGTAACTTCTTAACTAAAAATCTTTCGCCAATCAACTGAAACATAGTCACTTTCCTCATTTCTCAACTAAACTTATTATCCAGTCAACTAAAAATAGTCAGAAATAGCCTCGTTCAACACTGTTCTTAACTAAAACAACCTTTCTCTTAGCTAAAAATTGTCAAAGGAAACTTTTTCAGCACTTTCTTAACAGGCGCTATGTTTCATCAAGAAAAATTGTCAAAGGAAACTTTCCAAAACTGTTCATAACTAGCTTTTATCCATCGTCAATCAACTAAAAATAATAACTTTCATCATTTCTTAACTAAACTTATTCCCCCAGTCATCAGAAAATAACAGTGTTCTTCATGTTTCATTGTCATTTCATAACTAAAATTAACCATCAATCAACAGAAAAAGCCATGTTCATCATGTTTTGTCTTTTTGCTTAACTAAAATTATGTTTTTTCAAGTAAGAAAAAATAACCAAAGATATCTTTCATAGCTGTTCTTAACTGACATTATACTTTGGGGAGCACAAAAATAGTCTCCCTCGTCATGTTTTATCTTTTCCTTAACTAAAGTATTCATCAGTCAACTAAAAAAATAGTTACTTCATCATGTTTCCTTGTCATTTCTTAACTGAAATATCACTTCGCTCATTTAAAATAGTCATGTGTAACCTCTTTCCAACACTGTTCTAACTAAAGCAACCTTTCACATCGCTAAAATAGTTACTTCATCATGTTTCCTTGTCATTTCTTAACTGAAATATCACTTCTCTCATCTGAAATAGTCATGTGTAGCCTCTTTCCAACACTGTTCTTAACTAAAGTAGCCTTTCACTTCGCTAAAATAGTCATATTCATCGTTGTTCCTAACTAAAATATATGTCGTTAAGTAAGAAATATAGTCAAAAACACTCTTCCAGACATCAAGGACTCACTCTCGTTCATCAAAGTTGTTTCAAAGACATCAAAGTTATTCAAAGAGCTAACAAAAGTTATTCTCAGAGTCACCTTCGTTCTTCAGAGAAACTTTCCAAAACATCTTTATTCATCAAAGTTATTCTCAGAGGCATAAAAGTCATTCTCAGAGCTATCAAACTTGTTCTCAAAGTCATCAAACTTATTCACAGAGTCATCAAAGTTAATCTAAGACATCATTTTTCATCAAAGATATTCTCTCTAAACCATCAATGTTCTTCTCTAAGACATAAAAGTTATTCTCAGAGTCACCTTCGTTCGTCAGAGAAACTTTCAAAACATCTTTGTTCATCAAACTTGTTTTCAAAGTCATCAAAAGTTAATCTAAGACATCTTCTTTCATCAAAGTTATTTTCAGAGACATCTAAAGTTATTCTCAGAGCTATCA